GCCCGGGTTAGCCCACCGAACCCCTTGCGTCCGCATGCGAAACGAACCGAGGGAGATATCCGGGTACCAGAATATTGTTGAAGAAATTTAGATGGGGTTTAGCCTATTATTTCGTGCCCTAAATACAATTGTGAGCGATGAGGATCAATGCGACATGATTAATAACCGGGGATGAAATTTGATCTTATTCTCACCCTACATACGTTCTATCAATCGCATTCTCCCCTAACCTCCTTGCTTCAGTTATTGATCCTGTTTTCAGAGACTTCTGAATTAAGTGCGGGGGTCCTTCGTGTATTTGGATTTTGACCACTCCTCCCATGGATAAAACGAACCCGTACCAGGTTACCGGACCCCGGGTGCCATGGGGCTTAGGGCGCTTCTGCGAAAACCTCTTACATTTCCAGTATGATACCTATCAAACGCGGGATTGAATATTCAGTAATTATACATTTTTTATTCTTTGGATTAAAAACTTACTGGACATTTGGTCTGACTAGCCTTCCATAATGAGACTCCGGTGGCCCCATCTCTTGATGGTGAGAGTGGATATCTTTTCTCTCAGTTTCCAGTTCTATACTTATTTCGCGGTAATAAAAATTGTTGGTTCAATTTGTGCACCTCTGTATAATCGGAGTTTGGGGTATCCTCGTGGTCAGATTCGTATATATATATCGGAAGCTCCGGAGCTAGGATGGACGGTGGACTTCACAGAACACTGACGGTATCGGAGAGCAACCCCATAGCTGTGGTTGACTGATGGGATAACTTGAGAGCCCATTTCGGGTTATTTATTTGTCTTCGGTCCACCGACCAGGATAGTGCTCGAGTAGCCAGCAGTGACTGAGAAACGAGAGAAAGCCGGATTTCCGGAGAGCCAGGCGGAAGGAGGGTTTTTGTGGACCCATTACCAGACGCTCAACTCTGAAAAGGCTTGGAACTAGTGATAGCTCAAGACTACTAAAACTATGAAGCCAGCGTGTGCAAAATCTCTTCATAACCCTAACCTAAGCCAGAGCGAACTCCGATAATCCCATAATGTGCGCGATGCGCGGTAGGAGCTACAGATCATCTAAGAAAATGGGCGGGCACTTGCGGCGGACTCCTTGTTGTTGGAGCAGAATGTTTGATTTGTTTAGCAGCGGGATGTTGGAATTGGGATGAATCGTTTGGAGTAGATACCCGGGCATGGACGGGGGTGATGAGACGGACAGGGGTTCAAGGTGTCAAAGCTTTTCGCTCTTTCTGGCACCATGCCTACCAAATTAAATTATTTTTTACTTCTAATAGTATTCAGCGCCCGGACTCAAGACCCCTATCCCTCTCATCACCTCCGTCCATACCCAAGTAGCGGGAGGAAGGTTGCTAGATGGGAAGACTTGTTAATCAGGGATGTCGTTGATCGACAGGGCTCGTGAGTCGGTTGGTAGTGGAACTCTGGAGGGTTTTGGGGGACTAGCTACCGGTAGTTTGAACCCAGTTCGGTGTGAATTAGGATAAGTACAGTCACCCGTCAAAAGTCTTCGCGATCCCGCCAAGCCTAATTACATAATCAGATATTTCTCTCTCCCCTTGCCGTAGTACCCGAGCCATACAATCAAAAAAAACCCCGATCAAGCATGCTACCACTAGTATTTCGTATACCATCCCTTGGCCTCGATAACCGCATGTACCCTGTCCGGCATTGAATCTAGCATTGATTCAAAAAAGCGTTCCGGTACCTCCTCCCACACCGTGGGCAATATCTCAGCTAGTCGCTTCTGGATTGTTTCTGGAGATCCTCTCAGGTTCACGATATCAGGGTACATTTGGTGTAGTGTGCGCTTCATGTGAACCCAGATGTGTTCGATAGGGTTGAGATCAGGAGAGTACGGTGGATGGTTGTATAGGCTAATATCGTGGTCTGTAAAAAATGCCATGGATACCCTTGCTGTATGCACTCGTGCCCCATCCTGCATGAATATAGGCTCTAGATCTATACCCAATAGGTAGTGCCAGAAGGGAATAAGTTGTTGTGATAGCATCCCAATGTAGTACTCCGCATTCATGGTCTTTTTGTCAATTAGACAATGAAGCTTTCCCCGTTCCAATCCACAAAAGCAAGCCCAAACCATCAATGAAGCACTTTTATGCTTTGGCTTAGGGTCACAGCACTCTGGCAGCCACTTCTCCCATGGGTGCCAAAATACCCAGCGCTGGCGTGCTGTTCCAGCTTTTTCCACCATACACTCATCGCTCCAAATCACACGATACCAGTCCTTAAGAGTCCAGTCTCTGTGGTCTATTGCCCATTGGAGTCTTTTAGCAGCATGCTCTTCAGTGAGCTTCACACGGTGCTTGGCAAGCCATTTCCGTAGATTCTGACTCCGTAGATACCGATCAAGAGTTGACATACTGACATGAGGACAGACACCATGGCGAAGCTAAGAAATTAACACACTGGCATTAGCAATTAGACCAATTAACAACTCTCTGGCACATACCTCCTCCTTAGTTTGGAAGCGATCTTTTTTCCAGGTACGTTTGATACATCTTTTATCACGCCTACTCAGTTTTGAAGGTCTTCCGGAGCGAGGTAAGTTGTGAATATGTCCGCGTTCTGAGGCACGCTTCAGAAATGACCGTACTGTACTCTCTGATCTCTCCACCAGTCTTGCAACAAAAGAATAATTATGAAAACACCAAAAGAAGGCAATTATCATGCCTTTAAGAACTTCTGACATCTCCCTACGCTGGGTTCTCAGTTGGTAAGGCATGGCTGTGAATTGGTGAACGATAGTACGATACAATTTATGTGACCGTAGTAGCGAACGTACCTTGAGGTGTTGCTTAGTCAGCACCTCGCGAAGACTTTTGACGGGTGACTGTATATATTGAATTAGTGTGGACAAACTTCAGGCACCCTTCCTTTCCCCAAAGCGTTCTCCAGCTCACTGGGCTTGGGCTGTTGTTTCTATAGTGATAACACTGCCGCGGTACCGTAGGGGAACCCCCCTTAAGCTAGAAAATTAAGCGAGAAAGAATTTCACTCGGTTCGCTGGGCAATTGTGCGCTCCCATGCTTGAAGAGCCAAGGTTAACCCAATGAAACCCGGATCCATTGGAAGGCCTGGCTCTTTCTCCACTATGCCTTGTGTTAGTGTGGATTCAATGATGAGAAGGTGATGGCGGTAGGAGTGAAGCTTCCTAAGTTACATCATAACTCCTTGCACGAGATTCGAACCACTTATCGGCTAACATCCTCCTACGTTAGCCAAAAAGCTAACCCCTTGCCCTAGGTAAATAGATAGTTTCCCAATAAACATCCCAGTGATCATCCATTGCAATTCCAGTACTTTCCGGTCATAGGAAAGAAAGGAAGAAAAATATTAATAAGGAAAACCAGAGGATGACAAGTAGCAATATAGGAACTATCTGGTTTGGCAATCACGCTATATGGAAAGAGATACTTGTACTGTACAGTACAACGGTACGTACAGACTTCGAAATCCGCGACAAGTGGCATTAGAGTTGCATTCAATGAATCAGTTGAGAATCAAAGCTTTAGTACAACTTTTGATTTTCTCAATGAACTCATATAGAATTATGCTATTTCCAATTCTCATTTACACACTCTATTCGTTTATCATGGCGTTCTTGGGATATCATACTAGGTAACTACTACTTGCAGCCAATTGCTATCGTCTCCGCAAGACCTTTAGTTTCCAGTTATTAGTATAGTCAAAATAGTACGCTGTAAGAGGAAAAATAACCGAAACCGGTGCAAGAACGCGAGAACCACCTCTCCCAGCAAAGTCCATTGGATTTTTCTCTTCACTCCTCTGGCCTCAAAGCTAAAAGTTCTGCTCCCCAGGATTCCCGCCTTTATCCCAAACTTAGAACTCTGGACATCCTAGAGTGAGGTTTTGATTTTCTTATGGTATGATGGCATAGGATCCTGTGAACCCCACTACCAGATTAGTAGCAAGTCACCATCTCAGCCCAGCATAAGTTTAGCGCAACAGGTTAATGGAATTAAGAACATAGTCTGCAATTATTGAGATCCAGAACTCCTTGAGAGTCATGCCTGAACATTGTCAGGAAATTAAAGCCCTCCTCATGAGCTTTGGTCTAAATCCATAGATCAAAATACTAGCCGAGATGACGGACAAGTACTTCACGAGATTTTACTGTAGCGATTCAGCATAGAATATGAACAATCCCTTTTTTAGATTACGAACAACCCCCCTGGGCGGCTATTCGGCCTTTTACCCGATATGCACCCAACGCAAATTAGGGGTGTCGCCAACAAGCAAAGAGAGGGCCAATTAGTCCCTGTCCCCGTGTCGCACAGGCATTGAAGGAGGGCAACCAATAAACCGCCTAGGGAGTGCATAATTAGCAACCCTGGGGGGGTGTGATGAGGGGTAGGGCGGCTTGGCCCTGAAAAGAATGCAGTATGCGTTAAAGGAGGATCTCTCTCGCCGACTACAGAACAAAAGAATTAGGGTACCCATTTTCTAGCACCATGGAGGAAGATTTTGGCATTGTCGAGGTCATGAGTCTTGCGAATATTTGCCTTCGGTAAGCTCTGTACCATGGCGACGTCCCGGACCTGCTAATGCATCCAGAGTCGGCCAGAATCTTGTCGAACGATGCAAGGAGATGGGAGGCGCACACAGATATATAGAACACCTATATCCTCGGATAGAAACGGTCTGGAAACATATTACATACCAATTAACGACGGTTAAAGGTTCACAGGGGGTGGTCCACGACCCTCTCAGGGCCCATATAACGGATCCTCTCAATAAACTGCAGTTCCACCTGCACACTACCTGCAAACACCTCGAAGAGCTGACGCGCACGAGAGGGGGGGTGAGGGCGATGAGGTTTGCTTGGCTCAGGAGGGGCGCGTTGGAAAAGGATGTCTCGGTATTGGAGAAGTGGAGGGATACATTTTCCCCAACTTTTTTCATGCTATCGCTACCGACAAACGATGCCCTTGATCGAGCCCTGTTGATGGAAGTCCAAACGGAGCAGCCCGATGGTAATGCCCTGACTACTACCAGAGCGATCCGTGACGCCCTAGCCGGCGAATCCACAGAGCAGCTCGTGCCTATCTGGCTGGACCCCATGGTGGTGAACTCTTCGAACGCTATTGGCTACTCTGGGGCTCAGGTTGTTACCGACAGTACTGGGACGAAATACGTTACGGAAACTATTGCTGTTGATCCGAGACCAAGAAACCACAGCCAGCTTAGCAAGGATGTGGAAAAGTTAGCAAGAGTGCTCAGGGAATCCAAGGATGTCCCAGGAGTCCTCACTTGCAAGGGAGTCATCAGAGGGCAGGAAACGGACGGGGCCCCCGAAAAATTCGAGTTCATTTATGAGATGCCCCCCGCACTCGACAATGCCCCCAAATGCCTCAGAACTGTTCTCCTTAAATCACCGCAAGAGCCACATCCACTCGAGGAGCGTGTCCTTCTCGCCAAACAGGTTGCAAAGGCAGTCATGTTCGTACATAACCTCAACTTTGTCCACAAGAACATGCGGCCCGAGACCATCCTAGTCTTCCCCAATCCGGGGAAGACGCTCGGCATTCCATTCATCGTCGGTTTCCAGATGTTCCGAGCTGCGGATGGATCTTCATATATGGCCGGCGACGAGTCCTGGTCGAAGAACCTCTACCGCCACCCCAGCCGCCAGGGAAACTATCCTGATAATAAGTATAAGATGCAGCACGACATCTACAGCCTAGGCGTCATTCTATTGGAAATCGGCCTGTGGACTCCTCTTGTAGGCCAGATGGGGGAGCCGGGCGTGGAATTTTCGCAAATCGTGCCCTTACTCCAAGACCGCGATCAAAGGAGGAAAGCTGCCCGGATCAAGAAGGAGTTGGTCACCATGGCTTACAACCACTTGCCCCCAAGGATGGGAACCAAGTATTCAGAGGTTGTGGTCTCTTGCCTGATGTGTCTAGAGAGAGACCCCGAGTCGGGCAGTGAAAGTGAATACCCGGATGACGATGGCACCTTGGTTCGTATGAGATACATCCAACTAGTAAGCCCGGCCCTCTTTGTCGATTTTAACGTCAATCCCAAAGGCTAATACTCGTATTTTATTGTTCGCAGATTCTAAACATGCTTGAAGAAATTGACGTTTGAGGTGAGGATTTAATCGGAGGGGAAGCAGAGCCTTGGTGGAATGGAGGGGTAGGATTGGGAGGGTGAATCGTTTTTGTAAATCTATATCAATTTTTTCATTAATTTCACTAGTCGATGAGTCTTAAACCAGAGCCAGTTGGGGAAGCTCGCCTCAACATGGCTCTATGGGGCGTGTGTTTGTTACAAGCCTGACATTGCGTTCATGCGTAGATATTTAAGTCCTGCCCCCGACTCCCATACCAAAGCTGTAACATCCGCAAATCGCTTGTTCTTTCTGTCAATTAATTCTCAGATGCCTAGCACAGAACGTAGGAATACTAGAGGCAAAGATAGAGGAATGTGGGGAATATTGGAGCACCCCGAAGAAAGGCATAGACCGTAAAATATTTGACCAGGCTCCAATTATTACACGCGCAAATATATCAGAACCAAGGAGGAGCAAACCAACCATGTTACTGGCTACTTTTAATCACTCCTGATATAGGGTTCTAGAAGCGGTGCGGTTAAGGCAAGCTCGATAAAACTCTTCGCAACCAATTAATATAGAGAAAGGAAACCTCCTGACGGTTGCTGTTCTGCCCAAACACCGATCTATCCCACGATATAACCTTTTATTCCCCGCCGACATCATCTTGAAACCCTGGCCGGGGATATGCTCGACGATTTATAACATCTCCTACCCACATATAGGCAGCGCCTGAAAGGAGGTAGAATACTACACGAACATTTATTCCAATTCTGTGCATTACCTGCTTTGGCTTTGAAGTGTTGTCAGTTAAATCAGAGTTTGTAACTTCTTTTTTACATTATTCTCAGTGTCATTCCTTTCCTACTTGGCGAAATGCGCCCCACTATTCAGTTTGTCAATAGACATGAATTTGCAAGTCGCAATATCAGCAAATAAGTATGCATTTCGGTCTTCCGCTAAATATCGAAAAACAGGGGAAATCTCCTCCGCAAACATAGAGAAATATTCTAGATGCCCAAAACAAACAATACACACATTTTATGCTGAAGCAAAATTTTCCTACCTTCAAGAAAACTAATTAATGGAGTATGACAGTCTCCTAAGGCTGCTTAGGCTGTGTATTAGTTCATCAGCTATCAACATTCGCACCTAATAGGGTCAAGGCACAATCCTAGTTACCACCAAGCTTCGTATTCTCTGCCTACTAATCACGAGTTTGGTAGGCTTCTCCGGTAGACCTACGGACCAGGCACTCCGCGTCCTTAGAGTAAGCTATAGTTGGTCCTGCAATCTCCAGGCTTTTTTAGCCAGACGTGTTCCAGGGAAAAATATTCAGCAGGACCAAATAGACAACTCACTGTTCCTTCTCACCGTCCCAAGGGTTATATTGCTTCCCGGCGCCGATTACCGAGTTGGAGTCTCTCCTATCACTTTTATACACCATCGCCGGTCATCAATCGGTGGCTTTATGAATTGATATGACTGCTGTCGAGAAAGAAGCTTGATTTCCTTACCGCGTGCCCAACTGTGGGTTTTTATGCTAAACTGAACAGCTAAACAAAGGAAAGAAATATCAGAAACCCGAGGTTGGTAATATGAGAATCTCAAAAGAAAGGAAGAATCTGAAAAGACCTCGGAGGAGAAGAGAACATACGAGGACCTCGGAAGGACTATGGTTAATGAGAAGAAATTGATACCATAGCTGAATATGGCATAGTTGTGCAGTTGTGATACAAACGGAGAAGAGATAAAGAAAAACTCAAACCGAAGCTAACGTTATGGAGAATGGTGAGGAAAGCACTAAGAGAAACCAGATGAAAGGAAGCTAGTCTGTTTGATGGATAAGAAATAAATCCAACAGGCTTCAACGGGTGAGAACCCGTGATCCTCTGCCACCAAATTTCCGCTATATAATATTATACATCCATTCAGCAAACCTCTACTATACTAGGAAGATAGTCAAAGGGGGAAGTAGATAGGCAAAAACACCAAAAATTACACAATCTGGAAACTCCAATTGGCGTCCAACTGGAAGGTACGGAGAGGAAATTGAGAAAACTAGGAGATATTCCGATCTCAAAGTATGTTGTATATTCTCTTTTTTTGCTTCGAATTTTCCGGGAAACCCCGAAATGAAGACCGGAGCGAAATTTACATACAAAACGATTCACTTCTGAGTCTAACCCTCTCCGATTGAAAATTTACTATCGACCCTCTCTTTTACCCTTGCTTAATACCTATCCTCCAGCCCGTATAGGAGGATTGAGCTCCCTTTCTCCGCCGTATGCATAAGAGTATGATACCTTTGGAAGCCGCGAAAGGTAACTGGGATCAAAATTTTAGATTTTCCGTTTATTATATTTACCCGTAGTACAAATAGCCTCTTTTCCGCTAGTTTGTTTCACGACCAGTTCTTCCTCCTCCACTCTTCCCCTCGTCAGACTACACTTGACTTCATCTATTCTCAGTACGCGTCACAACTCCCCAGCCATACCCCAACTATGGTATTCCCCTTTCTAATCACTTGTCATCCCTAGCCCTTCTTTTTCTCTTCTTCACCCCGAGGTTTCAGGTGATGCCGGTCTCGGCCTTCTTTTAGTTTTTTCTTCCCTATTTCCTACCTTTTTTTGCAAAAGGACATTAGGACACACACACTCCTCTACACGCAGTAGGGGTAGACAATCAAGCCTTTCTACCCTTTCTTCTTCAGCTTCTCACAAGCACGCAAAATTCGAGTGATCAATTGCACCCTGTGGCCATAGATAGACAAACAATCATACGGTCATATAAATACATAATTCTAAAAAGATAATCGCTGTAGCGTATCCAAGGTGGATGTTCAGCGCTCTACAGGAACAGCCCTAGCCAAGTAATATACATCCCTCAGCTACACCGCCGGAATTTGTAAACGCGTGCCCGAGCAAAACACTGCCTAGGGCTTATCCATTTTACTAACCCCCTAGCCAGCCTACCCCTGTGTCCACAATGGCCCACCCTTCGCCATCTAGAGCGAACCGAAAACCCCAAACAGCCTCACCGTCATGTCCGTATACAGCGTCATGACATACCATCAGCGCCGATACAAAGCGAGTAAACTACCAGGTTTTTTTTCTAGCAAATAAGAAAAAGAAAGAGTAAACGTATGTTTCCTCTCCGTATTATCACGGGCTGAGCGAGTCGCACTGCACTATATAGGATAGCGTCACACAAAAGTGCAACCAGACTACAGAGGCCATCTCAACAGCAATTACCTTTAGCATCCCAGGAGTGCTGTACTCGTACTAGTACAGTCCCCCCTTACCCTCCAACCCAAGGGAGATTCCAGCACCGCCGACAATCTTGCAGCCGCCGCTTCTGTGAATATTGTACGAGCACTCGGAAGGGAAATTTTTATTCCTACGAACGGCTAAGTTAATCAGGGAATTTGAAAGGGTTACCGGGGCGCGCCAGTTTTTCTGGTCGGAGAACCAGGATCTGAGTAAGGCCGGTTATGCACACAAATCTAGCAGATCCGCTGGAAACCTAGCATTCCAAAAGCTGTCTTTCAACACCCGCCTGAACTTCCCTATTCCCTCCCGATTCCCCTTTCCGTTGATCCACGAACAGCACCACCAATAGGAGGGAGAACGATATTCAAGATAAGATACATTCAGCAGCATACCGGAACCCAATCGTGGAGATATAAAAGAGACGTCGGTAATATGACCGACGCTTATAATAGCTGAGATTTTGATGCGGGACGAGGCACTAGATTCTGGGGTGGCTGCCCCCCTTGGAACCTTAGGAAAGGTAGGATGTAAGAGAGGGCTAGCTAGATGGAGTAGGAAACAGACTTCTTCGAACGAACGAGTTGAAGAAATGGCGTACAAGCGGGGACCAGGCCGTCCATCCAGTGCCATTCTGTTACGGAGATCCAGGGGTGGGGGAGCCATATATATCTAAAGTGCGAAACTAAGCGAGTGAACACTACCGTACCTCTCTTGTAATTGATCCACTTTGCGATGTGATTAATGGGGAGAGTATGACTGTTCCTTGTTCGAGCCGCCATTTCCATGTCCACAAAGAGCAATCCGCAACCAGTGTGTTGGCTACTCACTTGAAGCAACTTGTCGCGGGGACGGAACTGGTCCCAGAAAAGATAAAGGAAGCCTTAGATCGAGCAAAAAAAAAGGTTGACGGTCGGGCACTCCGGCTCCCTGAAACCAGTGAGATTCTCGTTGGGTTTCTCGACCTCTTTGTCACTAGTATCTATCTGCATTGATGCTTTAGATAGGTTTCCCCGAAAAAAACCTTTACCCCAACTTTGGGACTCTTTACAACACATTGCCCGGGAGTGCGCAAGCTCTCGTCTACTCATTGCCGGGAGGCCACGCGTCAGAAAGGAAGTGGAGAAATATGTCTCAGAACATCCCACCCTAACCTGTAAAGCCCACCAAGGATGCTATGGGGGGTAACTTTCTATGAGGTTGAGACTCAGACCTATATGCAATGGATAAGAGATTGGTGGCCGATATTCTTAGAATTATTCCAGAGATAGTATCTCCGTGACGTATGTGGTATCTAGAGATAGTTGATCCTAGGTTATCAGTTAATAGGGGCCCCCGGACTTCCTCCTGTCTCCCTTCCCACGGACGCAACCGCGGAACACGCGAGGACACATCAGAAAAGGAAAACACTTCATAACATTTTCAATAGCTTTGATTTAGATGATGAATAAAGTACAACACTAAGTCGCATAAGAGAGCAGAAAGGAGGCAAATTAAAACTAGGGATGGAAGCGCTAATATGAATTTCACCTCCGAACGGCCGCTAAAGGCAGAACTATGCCACCCATTAGCAGTGGAAGTAGGAACTACAGACCTCAATGCCCACAATGTCCCGTCGATAATAACCTTATTGAGCTACACTTTAGTACCTGTTACGGTTGATGAGCAAGGATCAACAGTTAGCCTAGTACGCTTTACTCTCCAAGAGTATCTTGTAGCACACCCCGAGTTGTTCACCGCACCTCACTCGATAATGGCCGAAATATGCTTCACCTGTTTGAACTCTCACTCGGTTTGTGAGCTCTCAACCCCCCTCAATACTATCCTGTCGACAACCCC